CAATAACGAGGATTTATATAAATATTTTAAATCAATGATTTTCATTTGAGCTTACCCTAGAGAGCCTAGTGGAGTCACAACATCAACAGGGCCTTGGGTGAAGGGATGCAGGATTGGAAGAAGCTGCTCTTTGAACATCACAGAAGTGCCTAGAAACAATGCCTCGATGGCAAAATGGCCACTTGGGGGTGCATCCCGTGAATCACAAGTGGGTTATGTTCCATGAATCCAACTGGAGTATACCGGGTTACCATGGTATAAATGGGTCGGTCATACCCATGGTATAACTGCGGAATCATCCCATCGTATTGTCCACTAATTATGCGATTCATTGGTATTTCCACTAATCTATGGGTTCTAGCTTATACATAGGTTATATGGAGGAAATACCTTATTATAAGCCAGTTATTAACCAATAATCTATCGTTTATCGTCTATCCCATGGTATACCCTATAACTAGCTTGTAATTAACATAACTTCCTGGGTCCCCCACATCCAAGTCATCTGACCACTGGGTCCCGGGCACTGGGCAAGAGATGCGTAGCTTTTCCGTAACGGGTGAAATTATGGGAGGGGATGGTCCTATGGAAAGAGTATCTGACATAAATATCCCATGGGAATATCTAATATAGCAATATCAAAGTGTTTCACTAATCCTATGGGTTTAGATCATTTTCCGTTTATATAACATAGCTATGAGTTTAGGATTTAGGGGATGCTGCTTGATAATCCCCAAATGTGGCTGTGGCCTCAACCGATCCTACCACTTGCCGCCCCCCCTACTTGTGGCCTGTGGCGTTTCGGAAGTCTCATCTTCATTCACCGTGCACCTGCACCCAGATCACCCAGGGTTCATCATGAGTTCACTTTGGTCAAGGTGCTCATCCCAATTTTGATCATCGAACTACACCAGTCATCTATACCATAGCAAACCCATATACTGGTTGGTGGCATACCTACCCCTCTGAAAAATTTGAGTTCGTCAGTTGGGATGATGACATTCCCAATATATGGAAAATAAAAATGTTCCAAACCACCAACCAGTATATAGTTACCAAAGCTCATATGGGGTGATGGATCAACTGGGCTACAAAATCCATTTTAATCTGAAGATGACCACCATCCACCGTCCCTGAGACAATAGGGATGGATGTTTTTTTTTCTCTTGTCAAAATACGGAACCTGGAGGCAGTGAACACTACTCTCCGGTAAGAACTAACGTAATCTATCCTCTGGTAATTTAACATAGCTATTGAAAATGATCCATTTATAGTTGATTTACCTATTAAAAATTGTTATTTTCCATAGCCATGTAAACGTTTACCAAAGGGTAAGTCATAGCTATGAACCTCATCGAACCCATGGGCCATCGCCGAAGTTATGACCTGTATTTTGGGATGGAACCTGGATGTACCAAATGGGTGGAAGAATTGACACCATTCCATGTTTCATTCCCCGTCATATTGACAGTTGGTTGTCCACCATCAAGATGACGACTTGTCCGAGATTTGGGCTTCATGGTGACTACACCATATCTAGAACCTACACCCCTTCAATATCCCAGGGTCCCAGGGGGAACCCAGGCCCGTGATTGACCATCCTGGTGCTTGCGGGTTGATCTGTGTTCATCCTGCTCTGTTTAAGGCTGTCTAACCAGTGGCATAAATTACACTTGAGATAGTTCGTGATTTACAACCCAGCTACTAACCAATAGATAATCCCTTGGCCCATCTAAGACTAAGAACTCTTGTTGGTTACATTGGCAGCTTTGTTATCCGATGATTCAAATCCACCTGTGCAAAAGATGCATCTATTCCTGTGATTTCCTATGTGTATTGTGAGTTAGATCCGTCTGAATCAAATTTGTGTCCCCGCTAAGGCTGTTGAAATTCCTAGTTTGGATGGTTAAATGCGGATGTTTGCTGGTTGTATCCCATTGTTTCATAGCTAAATCACACCTTTTCAGGATAAAACTGAACAAAACTCCCTCTTTGTGAGCTTGTCAATAAGCGATCCCAAAATTTCATGGTTTAAAACCTAATTTTCCCTATGGCCATGGGCCTTGGGCCTTGGCGTTTCCACCCTTAACCATGGCCTTCTGAAGAAGGCCAGCTGGCCACTGAAGATGTAGACCCCAATGATTCCCTCAAACTTGCGTCCTGGCAAACTCACCGACAAGCAAGGGTCTGCGCCAATGTGAAAACAGTTCCATTTCGAGCGGAGAACTATAATTCATGGATGCGAAGTGGATACCTGGATATACATATGTATATATATATATATATATGTATATTACCCTCTGGTAACAAATGTGGCTGGCCGGAATAATTTCTTTATTTAAGGTTTTGATGGTAAAATCATCTGCAAATGGGGGTTTTTCCATTGCCACGTTTGATTACCGGAGGGTAATATATATATATATATTATATATATATAAATAAATTAGGAGGCTGAAAAAAGTGACCTGCAACAAACGGGATTTGAAGCACAGAAATTAGCAGTGACCCGCGGCTATGGGTTTACCATGGTTTACCCTTGCCGATTCTGGGGGATCTAAGCTGCAAGAATCATTGCCTACAAGGTGATGTTCTCTATTTAGCTAAGTTGTTTTAGAACTAGCATGACTAGGGTTTATGGCTTATGCTAGGTATATCTAGTCTATATAGCGATTACTTATAGAGATTACTTATAGCGATTACTTATATAACAACATACAACAACAAATATTACCACCACCAACTTATGTATAGCTGAGGGGCACTACCTTGTCTTGTAGATATTCACCGGGGAGAGTCATCTACCCATGGACACATTTCCTGATCTTGGTAGTGCCTGTTTATTTTGGGCATCCCCCATGAATGAGAGGTTTATCGTGATTGGGCGATGGACATATTTTCCATTTGGTTGTGCATCCTCGTGCAATGTTGATATAGTTGCCGTTGTGTTTCATTTCAGTGATAAATCGCTCAGAAATGGGAGGTTCATCCGCCAACAAACCATTTCAAAGTCCATTTCACAAGCCAACATGAAGATTTAGCCATGACAACTACGATTTTAGAACCGCTGAATGTTGGACGTGGTTATATGCGAACATGTGGAAAACATCACAAAAGTTGCAGTTTATCCCAAAATCTCGTGGTTCATCCAAACATGTGGGAAACCCCTCGTGCTTTTGCCCTTCAAGCCTGAGATTTTGATGTAAGAAAACACGAACCACACAGAGAAGCAAACTTCTCGTAGCCTCATTCCCAGCCTGGATTGGGGAATATCATGAGCCTGGATGTTTGGGACTATTTTGGGTATGAAACTCATAAACACACAGATATATATATATATATTATATATATATTATATATATATATATAAAAACATTCGATTTTCCTTGAGGTTTTCTCTTCAAACCAGTTTTTCTTGGCGTATTTGCTGGTGAAATCCCATGAAATCCCATCAAGTGCCCAATAAATGCCCATGAAATCCCAGTAAATTCCTGTTCAATCCCACTAAATCTCCATAAATCTCCATAAATCCCATTACATTCCCATTTCCCATGAAATTCCCTAACTTTCCATTGCTTTCCCCCAGCACCCCTAAAGAAGCACAGCAGAAAGTCCTGGCCGCGTTGTTGTGAGGGGCTGGATGTAGGCACCTGAGAACTCGATCAGAGGGATTGCAGCAAGCCATCTACTCCGGGGGCAAACTATAACTATTGATTGTCAAAAACAAACCTCTATCAATTTATTTGGTAATAATAATGATAATAATGATAATGATAATAGGTTTCAAATTCCAATCTATATATAAAACTTTAGCCTAGATGTGGAAACCCAATGGTTTTCCTAGGAAAATGATCTACACATGATGGGTTTTCCACAACTATGGAAGTTTGAAGGATGGTATCCAATAGGAATATTACGCGTATAACGAAAACACTGATTTAAGCATCTAAAATGGTAATTTTAACTTCAAGGATTCATGTAGATAGAATGGGCACATTTTAATGTGAATAATCACCGTAGTAGAAGTGGAAATACCAATGGGGATATAGCCAGCAACATCAAGAACCACCAGGGAAACAATGGTTTTGTCCTGGATCCATTCATTTGAGGGGATGGGAGTGACTACCAGCCACTGCTTGGTGGCTGAGCGCAAAACACGTGATGGAAAATTAACTGTACCACTGTTTTTGAAACCAGCTAGCTGAGATGCAACACCCTTTTCATCCTGAAAAAACAAGTAGTGTACCTCCAGTAATTTCACAGTTTGATATGGAGGTACATCAGTGGATTACTAAACTCTAGAGTTATGTTTCACAGTGTTTCTGGAAAATCTCCATTGGTATTTCAGCTGATTTTCTAGAATTACCCTCCAGTAAATTAACATAGACCCTGCCAGATAGGGCATTGAAAGACTAGTTTCCACTATAAATTGGTCAGTTTCAGGGTCTATGTTAATTTACCAAAGGGTATGTTATACCAAAGGATACGTCAGCGGATTACTTTGGGAAAAGCAGTGGATTGGAAATCCCATGACGAACTCGATGTCCACGGGTCACATCTGGGTTGATCCAACTACTAAATGTTTACCATTCTCAAATGGATGGTTCATTATTGTTTTAACCACATTAAGGTGTCAACTGATGTTGTTATGATGTTGTTTTTTGTCAGCGCACTTTTTTACGCACGCTGATTTCCATCTGGTCATATCTGGTCATCTAGCTGGTTATTCCTGTGCTTCCGTGATGGATAGGGATCATCCTCGACAAATCCTTAAACATACATTGCCAATAATTATAATAACCATCCTACTCAAGGACACACATGCGTGCACACACACATGCGCGCGCACACACATGCGCGCACACACACACACACTCACACACGTATACGGTATATACATATATACATATATATATATTAATATATGTGCAATTATTTATATACGTAGCACCCCCAAGGCCCTAGGATATATAATATAGATACCTGATATATGGATATGATATACCATGTTAGGAAAAAACAAAAAACAAAGCCCAGGGGTGACTTCCTTGATTTTCGCACCACCTCGCAGCTGTGGAGCTGACCAAACCCAAGTCCGACCTTTTCAGTGCAGAATCACGAGATATCACGAGCCTCGCGTCCCGTGACGTCCATCCATACACAGCAACATTTGCATGGCATTTGCCAGGTCCTGGCAAAATGCCGCCATGCAAATCCCTACTTAGATGGGCCATGGTTTGTGAGCAAACTAGTCAATAGTATATAAATGGATTGTAATTGGGATAGTTTGTCGTTTTTAACCCAGTTACCAGCTAACCAGTTAACTCCTATGGCCCATCCTATGGCACCCGGAAAAAAAAATCAAAATCCCGAGGAAAGCTATGACTGGAGGCCCATGGAAAAAAAACACGAAAACTTGGTGACAGAAAACAAGGGTTTGACTACAGTTTTACCCTCTGGTATCTAACATAGCTATGGAAAACCACCATAAAATCAAGATATAGGTAACTTATGTACAAGCTGACCATTTTCCATGACTGGGTTAGATTACCAAAGGGTAGCCTTCGTCTAAACTGCCCCGGATTTAACTACCCCCGCATTGACACATATTATGAGCCCCACGTTGGCTAGTAATAATTCTCACAAAGCCCACTGAAGTAGAATCACATTTCTATCCATCACTAGAGTTAAAAAATCATTCTGATCGAGTGCCCTCTAGGTATGTCTATTGGTTTGTCAACCCATCAATCTATAGAGCTAGTTCATCACCATAAACCCAATGCATAGTGCAGCTGGGATAACTTCGCCAATTCAGCCAACCCTCCAGGAAATTGACACCTATTAAACATGGTGATTTCCATAGCTATGTTCGTTTACCACGTAACTCATTAATTGGGGGGGCAGTTCCAGTCACAAGTGGTGATATAAATAACCATAGTTGTAGGGGTTATATCTCGACTTATGGAAATTATTACCATGGCTATACCCATTCATAATCCCAACTGCACCCAAAAAGTATAGATAGTTGATGAAAAAAATCCATCTTAAATCCCTATATATCTCAGTAAATTCGAATAAATCACCATTTTTCATGCTTCAACCCGTCCGTTTCACTCACGCTTTTACCTCCCAGGTCCTCGGCGCAGCCGGCCACCAGGGTGTCTTCCTCGGAGCCCGGGAGCCGATGTCTCTGCTTCTCCACCGTGCGACAGTAGAGGATGCAGTCGGAGACCAGGCGGAAGAGATCCATAAATGGATAGCCTCCAGATGGGAATCTGGAATAGGTGTTTGTTGATTGTTCATGTGTTTTTTTCCGTTAATAATTCCTGGAATATCATGATTTTTCATGGGGGTTGAACTAACAATTCAACAAGTTGATAGCCTCTTATCTGTATATAGATAACGGTACACAGTATGGATTTATAACAATCTGTATTGGATATGTGGATAATTGGACAACAATCTAAAATCATCTATATAGCCTCCAGTGATGGGGGGGTTTAACAAACAACAATGGTTAGAATATATACGGTATTTAGAGGAATTCATGGTTTCCACAATATAATGGATAATCTATAATGGATAATTAGATATATAATGGAAGATAACATATTAAATGGCGATCATCTGGAATATATGTGGTGTTTTTTCATGTGGGTTTTAACAAAAAACAATGGTGGACCATTGCCACATTTGGTTGTATTGTAAACATCATGTACAAGAATAACAATAGGACTAAAATGACTGAAACATACTGAAAAATATCCACAACACAATAACAATAAAATAAGTTGATAGCCTCCATGGATTAAACACACATCTCCATATGGAGTTTTCCTGAAGTAGACATACCCCAAATCATCCAAGTCATTGGACGATTTTAGTATTAGAAGCTATGGTTTGGGGGAGTCTCCATTTTTGGAAACCCCCATCATATAGTTATTCAATGAACATGTTTTTGATGGATGTTCTTCAATTGACAGGAACTTCTAGGAACTCCATTAAAAACGGTTCAGCAAATATGTTGAATGGATTTCCTATTGAAACTTAGAAAACATTGTTTAAGTATCCCGAATTCATCAAAGTAGTATAACCCCTTCTCATAAACAATTGGCCGGGGTTTTGGTATGTTTTGGTCACTGCTCAATTGGCTGCCGGTTGATGATGATTCAACCTTTCCAACTTACAATATCTCATGGAATCGTCCGTAAATCGTGTATACCTCAAACCAGCTGTCAACCGTCATATTCCCCATGAAATATAAGGATCATATAGTGATGGGATATATATATATATATAATTTTATTTATATACATATATATATATATATCTATCTACAATGGGACGTAATATATCAGTTTTATTCAATTTTGACATCCTGAAACCGTTTTTTGGAGGAAAAACGCGGCATTGTCAAACGCACCCATAGGAATTTCTTCACTTCGGTATCTTCTCACGAGGCATTTGGATCACCAGGAACCCATGATCGAAATAGGTGCTTCTTCAACATCAAAATCCGGGGGTTTAACCATCAAACAGCACCTCAGAAATAAGCACCTCATAAATTCACATCTTGTATGTTGATGAAAATGTATGAACATGTCAAACAAAAAAACGTCAGCATACATCAGCAGCCAGAACACTGAACATCACGGCAACAAAGACGCACAAACATGACGCAGCGTAGGGCAGTGCGATGAAGCCGTCACTCCCAGGGTCAGTAAAGTATGGCACCTGCCTCATAAGCACCTCAGGGACTGTGTCATTTGGGGGGTGTCTTGGAATGGTGGAGTAACCCCTTAAAGGCCATTTCAATGGGGATAACGATGATTACTGTAACAGATTTGGGGGAAGAAGTTTTTTTCCCACAAAAGCATTTAATGTATATTGAACATATTTGATTATAACTGGCATACGCGGGTATAAGGCCGCTATGATCCAAACTTTTGAGGGCATACCATTGCTGATTACAACAGCCTTACAGTTTTTTTTGTCTCACTTAAGGGAGAAAAAACATGGGTTCATGACTTGCATATGGCTTCTGTAGAACTTGGGTTCATTCCCGCCATCGCCATGTTTTCCAATTTTTGGTCGTTGGTCGCGAAATTCGCGGCTATCCCATGATCATCTAAAAGGTGCCCTATGATTTGACCCATCCTCTAATAACACACCATTAAACATTCCCTTAAAATTGTTGGTTTTAATGCCGGGTAAGCATACAAAAAGATGTGGAAAACGCCATGGTTTCCCTAGGACAGTGATCTACAAATAGTGGTGGTTCAACATCTTTGTTAGTATACTCTACGGTACCCCATAATACCTCAGGCGTGACTTTCCCACACCAGCTCCATTAATCGGCAGGTAAGCCCGCTACTTGTGATGATTCACTTCCACCCGTCATCCAACATCACCCAACATCCCCGCAAGGTGGTGCCCCCCTAGTCGATTGATTTTGATGGCTCATTCACCAGTTTCTTAAGGTCAAATCAGCATCAACCAACATCTCCAACATCATAAACCCTCTGGTAAACAAACATAGCTATTAAAAATGGCCATTTATATTGAGTTTTCCCATTAAAAATTGTGATTTTCCATAGTTATGTTAGTTTGCCAAAGGGTAGTCATTCCCATTGTTCCACGATGTTTGATGGATGACTTTAACTTGTTACTTCAAACCATACCATGTACCAACCATTTGCCAAAGCACATTCACCATGTTTGATGGTAAAATTACCATGATCTTTTTGTACACCATCTAATCATGAATCTAATTGATGATAAAATCACCAGTGACATGACGTTTCAATCCCAATCCCAATTCTGGATGGATATATGACATATCCAATGGGTGGAATCATCATTTTTCATGGTCGTCATGGTATCATCATCCTTTTGGATGCTTTTTTTCCACCCTATAAGGATCCATAGCTGGCGAGCAATCCATCCCATCCCCACGGGTCACCTGTGTGGTGGTGTAGGTCGCCCCTGCAAAGAGGCCAATGCCGGCGAGTTCAAAGATCCAGGTGGCCTCCTTCAGCACACGGCCGACGGCGCCCCCGCTGTCCTCGTAGATCACCGCCGTGGAGTGCGTCACAGCCAGGCACCAGTCGTTCGCTTGGAGCACCGTGTCATAGATGGAGTGGGAAGAAAGGCCCTTGCTGAAACCAACAAATAGGGATGATTTTTTTGGTGAAGATGGGTTTCTTCGAAATTCGTTTTAGGAAATTTTAGGTCATTGGCAATGTCATTGGTCTTCGAAATTCCTGTTGACCGCCAGCAGCCCTTATGATCCTTATGAACAGGGATGATTAAAACCGTACTAGTTTTGTGGGGGGGGGGAGCGGGGGTACTTGTGGGACGTCCATGATTTGTGTCATTACAAGAAAATGGTGGCCTGAGAGAGGTGGTCTGAGCATGAGTCGGAACAAACCGAAACATAAACTCAAATGAGTGACGCACTTGAAGCGTAGCATCCTATCTGTTGGTAAGCTGCAGTGACATGCAGTGACGTTAGCAACCCCACCAACCAGCTCCCACCGGAAAAATCAAAACAAAGCACAATAACAACGTTTTGCGCACGGCCCGAAAAAAGTCGGGGCCCAACTGCAAAAGTATTTGGGAAAGCCAGATTGAAACCCGGCCTCCAAGTTGTTGTAAAAACAATCTTCGACGCAGCTGAAACAGACCCACAGCAAAAGTCCTACTGGATTATTCTGTTTCGACTGCATCACACCGGTCAAGATCTTCAAAGGAAGCCGGATCGGAGATATCAATAAAATTACCAAACCAGCGTAGATGCACGTGCCCAAATGATACCGGAAAGCGATCCAATAACCGTACGCAACGGAGGGCGCAGACTGTTGATGGGCGCTCATCCCGCCTTGAAAAAACCATGTCTGAGCTGTGTAAATCATTGCCAAGTTCGAAATCTGATGAGCAATCCCAACATGCCAAATCATCATCAATACCTGGTTGGCTGTCAAACCCATTGATCATCATCCAAAGCCTCCCAATTTCATCGGGGATGACTATACCTACTTAGCTCAACCAAATACTGTAATTAAATACATTGGACTTTAGGGATCATCAACACAAGTAGGGGTGATTGGGGTGATTATCTAAAGAACAACATCCTTGAACATCCTTGACATCATCTTAAAACACCAACCAGCTACGACCATCGCAATGCAGCCGGCTTTTCCCAATGTAGTTTCAGGCCCTTTTTTGTCACCTTCCATAGCATCCATGGAGGAAATGCATACCAACACATAGACGTGGCTCACAACCACCGAGCATTCCTCGGATGATCGATTGGGTTAAACCAGCAACAAACCTAACTTGGAACCAAAACATTGTCAGCAAAACAATATCAAAATCAATTTCCTTTTTTTGGGATACGCTGTGGCTATCTTGGAAGGCTGGAATATGTGAGATGATGTATTATATGTATATATATATATATACTGTATAGATACCCTCAAATATGGTTTGTTTAGTTTCCCTTTTTTAGAGACACTAATCCGCACATTTTTATCTGTTCGTTTTCTTCATCCGGGTGTCCCAAATGGTGCGCAAGAGCGGCACCAATTTTAAGGACTTCACGCTGGTCACACAGTGGCACGACCAGCGCATGCAAACGATGGCCTGTTGTGCGTACAAGCTCGGGTTTTACCCGTTGAAATTGGCATCTGGTGTAGTTTTATGGATGTAATCGGAAAATGTGTGTCAACATTGTTGGGATATTATTGGGATAATTCACTTGATTACTGATTATTCGGGTATCAATTATCAATGCATGGATACCATAACAATGGTAAGAACCGCTCGTAACCCCTATAATTCTGGCAATATGCCAACTTATTCAGGGGAACTGCGCCCCCAAGTAGTGGTTTTGGTATACATTTGGCAACACCCCCACTAATGAACACCAAATGCGTCAGTTTTTTACATCGATAGTTCCTTTTGATCCGTGCAATATAGGTGCTGGTGGTTATACAATTTGAAGAATGGGAGAACATCATCTCAAAAGCGGTGCTAAAGCTACCTTGTTTTTTCTGCAAATAGGGGTGCTCTAAAACAAGTTATTCATCATCATTTTCCACATTTTAAATGGCCATCTGGCGGCCTATGCTCTAATTTCAGACAAACCCATTTTGACCAATTTTTCTGACAACAAAAAAACAAAGAATTTGAAACCCACCAGAAGTGATGGCCTTCTGAATTTCGATGGCAGCATTGCAAATGCCAATCAACAAGAGCACCTGGGCTCCAACCCACAGGGAGATGAATCTACGGTGATGGGGGAATATAAAACTCTAAGGTATGCCAGCGATCCCTCAAAGATAGAAACATGCATACATATTACATGTGTAGATATTATATATATATATATATGTAATTACTTATATTATATATAGGCATGTATGTACGCAAAAAGGCTTGAAAATATCGTAAACTGTTTGAGACATTTCTCAAATAACATGGATCTGGATCATCATCAAAATACCCCAAATAGGCTTGAACATATCAACAGCCAATTCTCCAACCAACCATAGGCCATCATCAACAACCAATTTGCCTCTTCTTTTCTCAAACAATCTCCCCCCAGCGAGCAAGCTCGCGAGATGTTGCGGCCGCAGCACGGACAGCGCTACGCAAACCCAGGCCAAGGGTTTTTCGGGAATGATGTAGCCGCAGGATCCACCATAATGACACTGAAAGAGGTGGAGGCTCACGCCCAGTGGAAGTAAAGCCGTGCAAAGCAATCCTGGAAGCAAGAAGATTTAGAATACTTAGATTCAGCTACTGGGTTAGGTTAGAGTAACATTCAACTTTGCATGAATAGGGCCGCAATATTCAATGACTTGAGGTCATATTTGTCTATCACGTGTGTTTACTGGATTTTGTTGGTCGAGTATTGACTGTCTCCCTTATATTGGCTGTATCGTAATCCCACTGTTTGTTGCTTGAATCCTCCGTTTGTGCTGGGCTCCACCTCACTGTTTGTAGCGGTCAAGAACCAAAGTTATTACCCATTTATACATGGGTTAAACCCACCTAGGGGACTTACAAACTAGGGTAACTCACGACTTGCTAAATGGGGCCACCTTGACCCGGGTAAAATCGATAACATATCCTAGATATGCATGTAAATAATAAATATATATATATATGTGTGTGTGTGTGGGGGCAGCCCGTGTACCAAAGGGCTATAATCAGATTTACTCCGGTGTCCAAGTTTTAACTATTCACCAGCAGGGGGCGACAGAGTCGCTGCATGGCTGTCGCTGACGAAGCTCCATGCAGTAGACTAGGATATGGAGTCTGATCAACTCCACGTATCTGCAGCTTTTCGTCATTTCATTCCGTGAAGGACTGTTTTTATTCCGTGTGTGCAGAACAGAATCCGTTTCAGCAGTTTCTTCGAACAGAGTTCATCACAGCAGTTTCAATCTTCTTTTGTGCTGAAAACGGCCTAAAAATGGAATCTCCAGATCCCTTGATGGGAAACAAAGTAACCCTTAGACGACAAATGGATAAATGGTCTGTCAAGTGTAACCCATTGGCATTATATATGATCTCAATACATATATATATATGAATACCCCGGCAATCTTATTAACTTAGATATTATGATATGCTGCATTATTATACTGCTAATTATTCTTTTTGCCTGGTGACATATATATATATATGTGTGTGTGTATGTATGTATATGTATATATATATAATACATGTATAATGTGTATATATATATATCAATTGATGGCCAACCAAAAAAGACTTTAAGCTACCCATGGAAGGTTTACCCCATGCCAAGAACAGAAAACCAATCTGCACCCGGCGAACGAGTCCTATCCAAATGATCTCCCGAACGAAGCGTGCCACGAACATGACATAGATGACGGCCAGCAGCAGGGTACACACAGCGGTGCCAGCACAGATTGGATACGCGCGGGACATGAAAGTTTTCCAAAAGGCCCAAGGTCCTCAAACACAATGGGCTTGTGTGAAAGAGTATCCCAAATTCCATGGTTTATCATCATTTTCCCTCTTAAATGGCCATTCTATGGGAATACACCACCTTTTCAGCAGACCCAAATGAATTTGTGGTGGAAGGCGCCAAAACGTTGAAACATATGGTTATGGGTCAAAACCCTGGTATCCGGATGGCACCCTAAAATAGCTGGTGAATGGATGGTTCTTCCACCAACTATTGTAATTTCATAGGTTTTGACCCATCCCCATATTATAAATAGATGATCCTATTTTGCCCCTCATTGCTGATTTCCCACCTGCTGAAAAGGATATGATTACCAAAAAAATCCGCTTTTTGAGACAAGGTGCTGTGATAGAGGTAGAAAAGGAAGATCTCTCGGTAGATCAAATTGCCTGCAGTGCCTTCAATGGGCTCACAAACCTTGATCTGCTGAAGCCCCAAAATAAAACAGATGTCCGATAGATTCCAAAGTAATGGATTTCCCAATGGAAAATAAGCCAAATCATCGACTCGGCAAATCACAAATGATAGAAATGGTTATACAATGGTTACCTAATGGTTATCCGATGGTTCGTAATGGTTAACAAAAATCAATGGCTTGCAAAATCACTGAGCAAATCCTACAGGACACCTTATCAAAAGGACGCGTCTTGTAGGTGGGCAACAGGTCCCAGGTGTTGTTGCCGATGTAGCAGTCCTAACTTGGACCGTCCAGGGTGCCCTGCGAACATCACTGGATGCCCCACATGGCCCGCTTTTTGTGGGAGATCCCGGTCATTTCACAATTTGATCTGGAAGCCATGGCCCAGTTATAGTTGATTTGCCTACCAAAAATGGTGATGTCCCATAGCAAACTGTTACATCACCGGAAAGTAGGGAACAAGAAAACACCTTCAGCAAATTGTCCAAGCTTCAATTTCTGACCCCCAAGTGCTAGGGCACTCCGAGACGCAGAGGGGGTAACGGGTGTTAATCTTCTTTTCGTCCATGAGATAAGCACTGGTAAAGAAGGTGTCAATGCAAAAATAGAGGTACCTAGCTGCAGCTGAAATTTATGATTTAACGATGGGGCATGCTTCGGAACTCGGGGGACATGTTGAAATGTTGGAGAGTCTGCGCATATATATATATATATATTATTTATTTATTTATTCATTTATTTATTTATTATAAGAAAAGAGATACGGTACGGGAAGTTAACAAAATGTATGCTAACTACCCTCGGCTAATTCCACAGTTTACATTGAAAGTCAGTATGTCAGCTAAGTAAATCATTTTTTCGCTAACTGGGCCATGGCTTTCATTGCAAACTAGTAGATCTATGATAGATTTCAATTACCATTACAACCTTGCTTTGATGGTTAAATCGCCATTTGAGATGGTTAAACCACCATTAATTTCCCATGTTTGCTAGTTAGCAGTCAGTTTAAATCACCACTAAATCCGATTTGTTCCATATTTTGATGATTAACGATGGTAAAACATTGAATATATATATATATACACGGTGGATTAAACCTCCTGGGCTGCAGAAAGTTCTTTCCATTTGTAATTCTGCAGGCCTATGGGCAACACTTTGAAGCCACATGACCCCTAGTTTGGATGGCGAACCCACCAGGTCACCATCTAGGTAGATGACGTAAATATATTATATATATATATCCAATAAATTACTGGTTGGTGGTTTCAACCCCTCTGAAAAATATTAGTCAATTGGGATGAATATTCCCAAAATATGGAAACATTTTCCAAACCATCAACAAGATTATCATTATTATTTATGGATACCCGAAGCAACATTTTTGTATGAATTGGGCTCTAGATAGTTCTAGATCAATTTCAGCTCAGCAACTCTCGGCCCAAATTTTCTCCTTGTCCACAGGCTTGCCATTTGTAGTCCCGCGGCAGCCAAGGCGAGTGCTCCAAGCCATGGCTAGCACCGTAGACGCAGATGACCACGAAGAAGCTCAAGGCCACCAAATAGATGGGAATGCAACAGACATCCGTGCATCTTCGAGGCACGGTGTCTGGAAAATATCCTGTGATCAAGAAGGGAACCGAATGTGTGACCATGTGTGACCTAGTGGTTATCAGTGATTATCTAGGAACCACCAGTGATAATGGTATTGACTATAATTCTACAATTGTTGTGTATAGTAACCCATCATTAAACAAAAATCATCATTTTGTTGTAATGTGGTGAGCCTACTATAGTGACAATTTCCATGGTTGATCACAGGTGCCAACAACAATGGCCCATGTTTGGCGCGAAATCAAGAGTTCTTCCATTCAAAACGGATCATCCAGTTGGGTCTAATGTGGCTAAAACAATAATAAGCAATCCCACAAATCACCATAAATAGGTGGTATGTTTACCATTCCCAAATGGATAGTTTAATGAAGTTTATTATTGTTTAAACTACATTATTAGCTTACCCACTTTGGATTTCTGGATTGTGGACATCCCATGTTTTTTCTGTTCCTTGACCCAGTTTTAGACGCCTTGGATCTTCACGGCTATCTCCAAGTGCGGAAGCGAAATCACGGAAACCAAAAGAAACGCTGTTGGAGGATCTTGGGAGGTTGTGAAGTTTCGGTGGTCAGCACTGAAATACGTGGATTAAAAACTCACCATTACATTTGTTGACCTGTTTTCCCTATATAACAAACTGGTTTGAATGAAACGTTTATGACAACCACATGAAGTTAATCGATTCCCTGGTCCTACATATCCAAGGAAGGGACCGCCAGTCCTCTATCTTCATCATCCCAAAAGTTCACCACAGGTCGATCTGCGTCCTCGCTATCATCACCTGTTTGGGGGTCAAAAAACACCAGCCGATGATAAAGTGGAAAATTCACGAAAATCCCTTGTCACATGACATTTTTGCAGAGGATGAAGCAAAATAGTGTCTATCTTGTACTTGAATGATCAAGCAAATAAACGCATCTTCTATCTACAGCATCTGTCTGACTATATGTTTATCTGATCTAGTCTAGTCTGTTTTTTACTATCTTATCTAATCTTATATTATCTTTGCTTATTTGATCCTTCTACTTAAGCTAATCCAATCTATCATGTTCTTTCTTTGTCTCTCTCTCTCTCTCTGTCTGTCCCTGTCTCTGTCTCTCTCTCTCTTTGTCTCTCTCTCTCTCTCTCCCTCCCCCCATCGCCATCAGGCCATCATGTCTGTGTGTGTGACCATATACATGTATATAATTAAATGCTTATGAACTGTAGTGCGCTGTATATATAATGATATAGAGGTAGATCGCCTAGCTCCTCTTCCTCGTCAACTTTAATGTCCTTCTCGTCCATCGGCCGTGAAACCGAAGCGCTCGCGAAAACGAGGCTGTTGTAGGGGGATTTCATCAGACAGGACCTGAAAAATGGAGGTACCATCCCCAAATGTCCATTTCAATGCTATACTGGGGTCCAAAACCCCCAAGAATTTCTATGTGGACTACCCTCAAGACAACATGCTTATGTTTGAATCTTTCACAATGGATCAATTTATCACTCGAAGAAGGCAACCTGCAGCAGTCTTATAGGAGTGGTTTCAAGTGGCAACTGGGATCCCAAATCTTTTCATGTGGCTGGCCTTTCCAAATCCTGATGGCATTTGTGTCAGAGCCAAATGCCGAGAGCCCATGGTAACAAGGGCAACGGAGGAAACAACACCGGATTGCAGCTGGAAAACTGGTTCCAAATGAAAAAAACGGTTCGGGATAGGCATCTGGAAGGTAAGGATTGCTTTCCAGGCCGCACCTGCCATCTTTCATGGGGATTCAACCAGCCCTACCCAAAGATGACCCCATCAATCATAAGGGCTGAAGGTCTTAACCAAACAACAACCCATAATCATTACGCATCTATTATTGGGAGGGTCACCGACCTGGGGGCTGGTTGAATCCCCATGAAGATATCAAGAAAATGGAAGACACTTTTTCAAACCAAACTGGTCTGCTTGCTGGTTGAGCTTACCAGTTATAAGTCAGTAAGTCACCACATTTATGGCATGGCAATCCCATTTACAACTATAACTATAATAAACATCACTGGTATTTCGGCTTTTAACTGGAAGGGAAAATACCAACAACGGCATTTTTTGGTCACCGTGGCACCCGGATGATTCTTCCGGAGTTCACTAAGGGAACTTCGGAAAACTTGACCCATCCCAGCAGTCATAGTTTGGCATGAAACTTTCGGTCAACGTTTACATAGCGAACTGGAAAATCCCTCACTTTTCATAGATAAATCAACTCTAAATGGCCATTTTCAATAGCAAACTGTTTAAATACCAGAGGGTAGGGTGTCACTTTAGTCTCATCTGTTTTTGTGGTTATCCATGGTTATTTTTCCCTGTCGGCCGCCTCCCCTTGGGGAATGATGAAGCCAACACTGGGGCCTTATTACCACTAGGGGATTTAGAATTAATCAGATAGATTAATTGAGGGTTAATAATTGATAGGGTGAATAATTGGTCACAATGAATCCAACTGGAATTTGTGGCTGGATTGAAATTGACTCTTCGCATACACAAGGAGGAAAAGTCCCATTTTTGAGCCCCAATCTGAGACGAAGACCCTGGACTTTTCCTCAGCCCCGTGGAGTGGCGCCGATGTGGGGGTCTAACCAATCAAATGGGCGTTTAACCAACAAACATCGCGGTATAATGGAAATCAAATGGGATATGATAGGTATATAATGGAAAATTACCAAACCCTGAAAGTCAAATGACTCATGTCATATGTTTACATCATTCTACCCATGTGATATACCACAATTATATAACTCAAGGGTAAAATGAATCGTTGAGATTTTCTGGATATAATAAGGCATTCAACCTAAGATCTATGTATTTAGTTTCAGTGGTAAACTTTTTTAATTGAAAAATATCAGCTGCAAATTTAGGGCTTGCACACAACCAGCGAAATTGCAGAATTAAACCTGGTGTAGTATGGAGTTTGCCACCTGGTAGTTACAACCAGCAACTTTATCAGGTTGAGTTTCCTTGGAACACCAGGTCTGAATCTGGGAAGCATCCCAACAAATTGTCACCACGTTCCCAATGAAATCACTATTTGCGGGGTATAGCGCATTTTCATGTTTGTTGGTTTTTGATCTCATTCTATGCATTTATATGTCCATTAGTAATCAGGATATCAATTCTGTCCTATTACTACTGTTGATGAAATACCAAACTCTTTGATGGCAGTTCCTTAAGGCGCATTTCGTATCTTCAGATTATGTCGGAACTATGTCTCAGATAACATCCAGATGAAACATGGCATGTTACCACCATTTGTTTGGTTAATTCGTATATTTTTGGTGATTATTCTAAACACATTCTCACCATATCACCAATAAAAAACAGAAATCACCTTTAAATCGCTATTATTCCATAGCAAATTTGCACTTTGCTTGCTAGACCCAAGGAAATATCATTAAATCAACATTTTCCCATCCACAAATTAGTCCATGGTTAAATTAGCCAGCCCATTCTTAGGACTGGCAAATGGTTAAGCCATTGTTCATATCATATCAATTTGGCATTTGGTTTTGCCAAACTCCATGGGCATCTCATTAAATCACTATCTTCCATCAAGTCCGTATTATTGTTGGTGCTTGTTGGTGGTTCTTCAAATCAATTTCCCATTGTATTACCAGGAATTCACTTTGAAATCATGATGTTCATATCATTTCAAGTTGGCATTTGGCTCATATTCAATCACCACTGTCCGGTCCATGATTCCAATCATATTCCCAGCCATATGTCCATTGCATCACAAGTTCACCGCCAGTTTCCCCATAACTGGCAGATTGTTTTTTACTATTGAATCTCTTTAAAACATAATTCAACCACCATTAAATCCCATTAGATCCCATCATATACCATTAAAAATAGCATTACATCAAATTACATCCCATTAAATCCCATTCATTCCATGAATTTTATGGTTAAGCCATTTCCATCTGCCAAGGCTCTGGGAGATTCTTGGAGTTTCTTCTCTCGAATCACTGCACCGGTGTCTGGGCTGAAGGTCCTAAGGCAAGTCCAAGTCCTAGGGGATACATACCGGTCAAGCCCGACATACCAGTGTTTTTTATGGTTATTTCTGTGGTATTATCATGAACCATAAATAGGGTGACAGGGTGACGTTCTGAATTATTGCTAAAGGGCCATAACTGTGGGTTCCTTCGGCCAAATCCAAGATTTGCTTGGCGATCCCACATCATTTTCGAAGGCAAATCCAACATAATAGGGGATACTCATAGAAAAATGCTCTTCAATATGCTATTTTAAAGGAACAATGGTTATAATTATAATATTATATTTATAGATATTTATAGCCATGGGATTTGGCAATTTAGGGACCATAAAGAGGACACATCAAATCCCAGTAAATCCAAGAATGGGTGTTCCAACTACATGGGGCTGATTTCAGGGGAAATTGCGGGGAATCAATTGGAATCACATGGGGTTTCCATAAATCAGGATACCCCAATAGCTGGATCGTTTATAACGGAAAATCCTACTGGGGTGATATGGACTATAGCTGATTTTATAATAATTGATTATCCAATATGATAATATCCTATATCCATATCATATGATTGTTTATTACAGCTGATACTCCAATATGGATGATTTAGGGCTACCCCTAAATCACACAGGAAAGCCCCACATTGGAATCATGGTTCGGTGTCTCAGTCATCTACGCCAACTGGGACAGTCCATAGCTTCACCAAGGTGCAGTGCTGAGCGATACCTTAACGAAAATACGAAAACCAAGGACTATCCAGATGTTCATTTGGTTGGTTTTAAGCGACCACAAGTTTACCAACCAAGTTTCTTGGGGTGTCCTGAAAAACCATTGAATCATTTTTTCGAACCATGAAGTAACTACAGGAGTACTATCTATGAGTGCATTTTTTCACCAAACAATTTCTGTATGAATGGCGTCTTTTAACCCCTGAAAAGTATTGAGCACATTGTAGTTACCATCCAGCAACATATACAGATTAATACAGTAGATATATGGCTGAATGATAGTCATTCTTCGAGCTGAAATAAGGTCACTTTTCGCGTGACATTGTTGTGACATGATTAAAGTTCAGCCACATGCATCCCATTAGATGTCCACTATATCCCATTACACCACCATGTCTGTTTTTTAAATCACCATTCCTGTTGGTTAAATCACAATTTTTGCTGGTAAAAATCCCAAGAAATCCACAAATTTTCATGGTGAAATCCCCCATGCGTACTCCCTATGGCCGGGCCGTCGCCAAGTCACACGCTACTTCGGCCGCCCGACTCGAAGTCCACCACTGCCAGGCTCAAATTGTCCTGAACAAACAAACCATGGGGTTGGTCCAAAAATGATGGCAATGTTTTGAACAAACCCATGGTTTATGATGATATAATATGAAAAATATTGGTTTAATGTTCCATAGTGTATGTATGATACAATATGATATGATATAATGTTCCATTGTTTAAGATTGCAGAGCTGCAGTGAGGTTGATACAATGGTTTCACCCAACTTGGTGAACCATGGGAGTTTGGGCAACCTCGGATTGGAACCCCGTGGGCCGTTGAATTTTAGCTGCTCCCTCCCGACAGACTGTGACGCGAACTTCCTGGCTTAGGCAAAATTTGGCCTTGCATTCAACAGAGCCGAACTCGGAAGTTCTTCGTTTAATCTCTCTCTTCATCGGGATCTTGAGGTTCAATTGGGGGGTACAATCTTAACTCTGTATGAAGATCTTAGCAGCACATCATTTTTTTTCCTTGAATTACTGTGCCAACCCGGGTCTGTTAATCCAGACAGCTGCAGCCTTTAGATCTCATGCTGATTTCCACGTATCGCCAAAAGGCAGCTTTCATGCTCTAAAACAATATGGGAGAAACGTTCGTAGACATGGCACTTAAAGTAGGCCGGTGGTTAAACCGGTTAGTAACTTGGTAATGGGATATATGTGGATACATTTGGATATACAATAAAACCAATGTGGGTGTCTTTAAACATATAACCTCCATTGACCATTTATGGCGATTTAAAGGGAGCACATGATATTATTAACCAGTGCATGGAATGGAGTACCCTATGTTCAAACAAAGCCATATTCTACAACAAGCTACAACATCAACTTCGAAAGCCCCTGCAGCACAATTTCGAAGAGGCAAGGCTGGATATGAAGTTCTACGGGTGAACTTAAGAATTATGTCCACCTACCAAGCACCAAGATTTTCCCAGTGTTACCAAGTAGCTATATATATAGATATATATATATGTAATGGTATATATTTAGGGATATGCTGACTTTTCCTCAGCTACAAATATAATACCACCGGGAAAGAGGGGCTTACATGACACATGGTTACTGGCCAAATATGGCTCCTGGGATTGTTATCCAAGCAGCCGCCTCAGAACTAATCTCTGCAAATCACAAGTCCCAAAATCCGAAACAAGACCATTTTGGGATGATTTACCTTACTAAGCCATCATCTACAATTAGGGCCTATAGGGAGGTAACGTTACCCAGTCGCAACAGGAAACCGTCCAGTTCCCTCTGAGGCGCTGGGTTGGACACGACATCCACTTCCAAATAGACCTCGGCGCAGCGAAAGGATCGTGGGGCCACATGGGTGTGAATGCTTATATGAAGGGCGGCATCAATGGCGCGTGGTCTTGTGACTTGTGGCTATAGAAAGATTGCTGTAACACCATGGCTGTATTCAGATTGATCATTCCTAGTAGGCATGGGAAATGACAAATGAAACCTCAATCAAATGTTATTGGGTATTGAATGCGCGTCAATACCTCATGGTCATTAAAATCCAATCATGCATGGCTTATCATAGATTTCCCGCAAGACTTGAAACTTTGGATTATAATTACCGGATATTACCAGCATCTACCATGTTTACACTCAAGAACGCATTCTATATTGCTGGTTACATCCGGTTAGTTACCCCTTTCTATTCCAATTAACAAATGCTTTGTACCCCATCTTTGTTGGTTAAACCTCCACATCGTTGCGATCGACCATATTTACAGAATATATATATATCATATTTAAATTATATATACTATATATACAAATATATATATATAAAAAAACAATAATAAATATATATATATATATGAGAAATTATATATATATATATGTATATATATATTAGAGAAATTATATATATATATGAGAAATTATATATATATATACATACATTAAATGAGATATTATATATACAAATATATTATACGAGATATTACATATACATATATATATATATATTAGATTAAATGATATTAAAAAAAAATATTATATATATATATATATTAAATTATGTATATATAATCGAATAAAAATCCAGTAAATATCTCTGATTCGCCCCATGATCTCCTCGTTCATTTACCCCCTTCCCATAATATACGTTGCCAAAGTGCTCCGCGCTGACTGTCAGCACACAGAAGATCCGCCCGCAGGCGACATTTGCCTTGGGACGTAGTGGCAAAAGTTGGGGTTTGAGAATGAGTTTTCCGCTACATGGCATCTATGAAGAACATAATGGGATGTTTACAGCATAGAATGTTTACAGTATCTAGATTCAAGCCAGCTATTCCATACAATGAATAGGTGCAGTATAGAATGTATCAGATTGGGTAAAGAATGGGGTGTACTGTAGGATACTGTAAAGGCCACAGGTGATAACATTCACTTCACATTCGTGCCCCTGCGATGGACACTGGCCAGTCCCAGGCTGCGCGATTTTCGGGTTCCCTTCGGCTTGAAGTCTTGGCTCACTGGAAACACCAGGAATATCCAGTTGGAGCGGCTTTTTGGTTCGTATGGGTCAAGACGGTCAAGCCAGTTCGTCAGCACTTTGTGCAAAAACATGACAGAATCTTGTATATCAGTCAGTAACAATGTTTTTAAAGCCCTGTCATTTGGGTTTTAATTGCATTCTGATCCCAGTATCTTAGGCCAAGCATACACCGGGTGCACCGACTGAGCGCGAGCGCTAAGCCAGGGTGCAGTATGCTACGTCGTCGGGAGTACGGATGAGTTTAATCCTTTGGAATCGGTGGCAGATGCGAGGCTGAAGGAAAAGTTAACTCTGGATATTTCACAGCTTGCTATGGAAGCCATGACCCATTTACATAGTTCGAAAAAAATGAATTACATATGAATAATTCTCATTTTCCACAGGAAACGGTTAAACTACCAGAGGCCATGGTTGCCAAACATGATATCGTGTAGCTGGGTGCAGGTCAGATTTGATACAGTACCTGCCATACCCGATTTGGGTGGTAGAGCCGAGCCAACCATGGGCCCATATGGGTTGACATGTCAGGACACCTTTCATTTGGGATGAAAAGGAGAGCTTTGGGGCAAGGTATCCCAAGGTATGTTCAAATCAATGACTGAAGCATTCAGCCATTCACTGGATTGGTCTAAGGAAAAATCTACATATGGATGATTTTACCATGAACGTAACATTTCCCCTAAACCATCCCAAGCAGAGCCAGCAATTCTCAGACACTTCCAGTGTGATTCGCCCAGAAACTGCCCACCCATGAATGGAAGGCGAAACGTAGGAACCTGCCGGGCCCAGCAAAACATACGTCAGTGATGGCTCACTGATCCACGTCCTGTACAGCTGAGCAGTGTGAGCTGTGAGAAAATGACCTTTTAAATTTCTAAATGGAATATGTCTTGGGAATACCCAAATATAAACCCCTATGGCCATATGAAACAGCTGAGCTCCCGCCATCCGAGCCTCGTTTCTGAACTTGAGATACCTGCCTTTCCAATCGACTCGGGCATGCTTTCTACCACTTTCTGTTGGAGTCACCATCTCAGCAGCGCTGAGAAAATGGCCGGACGGCCGAGAAAATGGGCCCCATACGTACCAGCTCCAATGATGGGCTCTTGTGAAATAAGGCATGAAACTACAACTGGTTGGCGGTATACCTACCCCTCTGAAAAATATGAGTTCGTCAGTTGGGATGATGACATTCCCAATAATTATATGGAAAAATGAAAAATGTTCCAAACCACCAACCAAACAACTACCATCAACTACCCAAAACTGATGCTGATCCCGCAGGGTGGAGCCCCATTTGTACAGAAAAATGCAGCCAGTAGTTGTAGGGCCGTGGATTTTCTTGTGCCCGAAATCGACCCTGCATTGGCTGGCACTACCCGCAATCAACTCCTATAGCAACCCTCACTTTGAAATACTTCTGCGCTCATGGATTCATGGCAAATCTTGGATACCCTGCAAGAAAAGTCACCTTGATAGTTGGGTTTTGAAAGGTTCCCTCCTTCATCCCAAATCCATTTGAACCTGCCCCTGACCAGTTGGTTTACCAATTGGTTTACCTTTCTTCTCTTCAGATCCAAGCCAAGTGGGACTTGGAGGTAGGAGGCCTGTGTAAGGGCTAAATTTCAGGACAAATCCCCAAAATGGCCAAACATATGATAGAGTACATCCATGTTAGATCATGTTAGGGTCCTGAGTATGGGCTTTATCCTGCAACTGGGGAGCCACCGGGCATCCCACCAGCATTAATGAAGAAACTCCACATGGGATCCAACATCGGAAAAAAACATGGAAAAACTGATGGAAACGGGCGCGTAATCTCATAAACATATCGGGCGCGGGATCCCCCCAGAAAGTGTGCCTTCTCAAAAAATCACATTGTTTGATCTATAGATCGCACTGTATCCTATCAATCCTCAATAAAGCAAGTAAATAAACACAAGCGCCCCCCAGTTTTGCGCTGCTCAGCCTCCTCGACCTTGGATTCGCTCAAGGAAACCAGGAAAGAAACATTTTTTCCTGGTAGATTCATGTAGATTCCATCCATTTTTGGTGGATTTACCAATGGAAAAATAGTAAATCGGGGAACATGCACAACATCATCAACTCAGCCAATCCAACTTAGGGGAAGTTGGAAACATGTGGGAACACTGGGAACATACACAAAATCATTGACCCATCCATAGCATATGTTACGGGAAACATACTCAGGACATACTAACATACCCACCCAATTAATAAAAAATAATCAACACCATTTTCTCATCCAATCCCAAGTTGGGAAACAAATACCAACATCAAACATGAATCAAAATGAATCAAACATCCTTGACTCCTCCAAGGCCTCCCAACATCAAACATGACTCAAAGATCCCATCCTTGACTCCTCCTTGATGCCTCCAGGGCGCTGCTTCAAAAATGCCTTCCCTCTCCAACTCCATGCCGTGGAACATGCGCCCGCCCAGCGCGCGCCAGGGCCCAGCATTGGCCCGGTTCAACTGGCGCAGCAGCCGGCAGGTCGCATCAGAGCGACACCTGGGAAGCGTGCTGAAACATCGGGTTGGAACGGGGTGCGTTTGTTGAGCCTAGAAATGGTTAGTGGGTTAATATCATTTCATGTAAATTATATAATAATGATTAATAATGTATGTGATTGAGTTGATGATAATGAGATATAATGACTATTATTTTGGTGATTTCATGGGGATATTGATGGGATGTTAATGGATGTTAATGAGTTAACCTTGGATTTGCGCCACAAGGGGCCATTGACCTTCGATGTGGGTCCAAGAAAACATATTCCCAGTAGATTCTTGATTTTTGGTGGATTCACCACCAGGGAAGTAGAAAAACTGGGATTCCACCAGGTCACTGGAATGGTTTTGAGAAATTTACGGATGTGACCATTGTTTTGACCCACCAGAGCGTTCCGGGGGTTCTTCTTCGACCAGTTTAACTCGCCCAAAGGTGATCTACTGAACCAGTTGCCAGGCTGGACTAATGCAGGGGTATCTGTCATGCTTAATCAGTTGCATTTTTTAAGTGTTTAACTCCATATGTTGGTTGACTAATCCAGGTGGTTCGTGCATCCAACCAGTTTGATTGGCGAGTTCTTCATACTCTTCACCAAGGGTCATCCAGAGGTCTGTTGATAAAACCAAGAGGCAGAGTGTGTGCATCGAGCATCATCCTTGGGTCCCGGGTCCCTCTCACTACAGCCCACCAGGGTATTGGATAGTCAATGGTAAGATATGGCAAACCGCCAGCCAAATGGGATATAAATCAATGAACATATGATATGTAACCGACATGTAACCGACTTACGCGGCAAAACATGAGGGTATTCAAGCAAACCAGTCAGTGAACAATGGGATTGCGGACGTTTTGATGGGGTTCTATTCCACTGGTTGACTTCTTTCTTTGGCTGATTAGCGTCACAGCTATTTGGTTTCATGACATTGAAACTACACACAATAAAGCACACACACACACCATCATGGTATAAATGAGTATGGGCAATGTCAACCTGCATGGCAGGTCGACTAGGGACAGGTCGACATCAACGGTGCAAACTTCAAAGGCATTGGCAGAAATCTCTGTGATCTTCCCTGCTGTCACACTCGACAAGGAAGTGCATCCTGCAAAAGCCAAATCCTCAACACGCACGACAGACTCAGGGATGTCCAGCGAGGTCAGTGAGCTGCAGCGTTGAAAGGCCGCCTCCCCAATCGACGTCACCAATTCAGGGATGCTCAAACTCCGCAAAGAGCAGCAACCATTGAAGGTCCCTGGCTTGATCTCAGAGAGGCCACTGGGGATGGTGATCGATCTCAACTTTGCGCAGTCAAAAAAGGCACCTTGCCCAATCTCACGAACAGAGTCAGGTAGAGTGACAGTATGAAGGCGCTGGCAATCATAGAAAGCAAAGTCTGCAATGAAAGTCACATGCTCAGGTATTGCAATATCCGGCAAGCAAGCGCACTCACTGAATGCACTGGGCCCGATGCGGGTTGCTGAGTCTGGAAGGATCACATGCGCCAAAGAGGAGCAGTTGCAGAAAACACTGTCTTCAATCTCTGTCAAGTTTGGGATGGTCAAAGTCTTTAGTGAGTGACATCCACTGAAAGCATAAGGCCCAATTCGAGCCACGGACTCTGGAATGCTCAAGCTAGTCAACGAGCTGCAAAGTTGAAAAGCCTTCCGCCCAATGGAAGCAGTTTGCCTGGGAATCCACAAGGTTGCTAAAAAAGCACATGCGAAAAAAGCGCTCTCCCCAATGTCGATCAGCGAGTCAGGGAGACTCAAGTTTTGTAGGGAGCTGCAGCCACTGAAAGCCCCGCGCCCAATCTCAGTCACATCTGAGAAAGTCACACTTCGAAGGGATCTGCAGTTCGCGAAGACTTCCGACCCAATCATTTGGAGAAACTCGGGGATGGCCACACTGACCAAAGAGCTGCACCCCTTGAAGGCCTCGTCACCAATTCCGGTGACAGAATTTGGGATGTCCAGAGTCCTCAAAGATGTACAGCCACTGAAGGCGCTTGCTCGGATGGCTTTCAGAGAATCTGGCAAAGTTACCCGCGTCAACGACATACAGCCAGCAAAGGCCTCCAAACCGATCTGATGAACCGAACTCGGCATGGTCACCAACTCCAGCAAGCTGCATTCTTGGAAGGCATTGTGTTCAATTTGATCGATCTCTTCAGGAATATACACAGCCACCAACTCTTTTGCTGCCCGTCCAGAGGACTCCTTGCTAGCGGCGACCACAGCATTAACGGTGAAAAGCACCAGCATGTTCGAATCGAGTGAAAGACCCAGCTGACCCAAGGTCAACTCGTCCTCCTCCTGTTTCTTACCCTCCAGCAGCAGCTCAACCACTGTGATGCGGCGGATGACTTTATCGCTGCTGGGCTGCAAAGCTTTCAGTTTCTGCTTGAGGTCACCTATGGTCATTTCCGGCATGACATCCACATCGACCCTCTCGCCATTGATCTGCATCACCGCAATCTTCATGGCCATGGCCACAGCGACAAGTCAACTTCTGAAGGTATTTTGAACGTCTACGTGCCAGACTGCGAGCCGAGAAAGCTTGAGCCAGCGGAATGTTCATTTGCCCGCTGCACTTGGTTGGACCTGCTCGCCAGGTCATACGTGCAACCGCCTTTACTTGGGCCGTCATGGCCATGGGAACATGGGAACACAACCAACCAAAAGGTGCTGGCATGCAAAAAGCACCTGCATTTTCCCGCTAGGCGGAACCATAGAAACATGTAAAGACATGAATGTACATGAATGTACATGATATATATATATATATATTTATTTTTAACATCACTGTCAAAATGCAGCTTACTGTAAGTCCCAACCGGTGGTTGCAGGCCTCAGTCTCTTGGGGAACCAAGATTCGCTAGGATGAAGTAGGGTCCCTCAGCAAGCTCTGGCAATGAGAGATGACTAGGCTGTGCATCACCAAAAGACTCGCGACCTGCGCTGGAGAATTTCGAGGGCCCGCCCCATCGGAAGTACAACTTGACAAATGCTGGTTGGCGGTTTCAAATCCTCTGAAAAATATTAGTCAGTTGGAATGATTATTCCCAATATATGGAAAAAATGTTTCAAACCACCAACCGGCAAATGTATACACGGTTCGTTCATGCCTGGAGTATTGCACGCATGCTTTCGCGAATATAGGCGAATATATCTGCTGCAGGTGGTTCTGCACCCACTAAAACAGCCTTGTTTTCCACATCTTCAGCCATTGGGGGTTTCCTTCAACATGGTGAAAATCCCCAATAGCTGGGCTGATTTACAGTGGAAAATCCTACATGTTCCTGGATGATTTGGGGATACCCCCATGACTTAGGAAACCTCCATATACGATAAGTTGGTTTATAAACCCCATCTATACATCCATTAACTTATATGATTATAGATCCATTATAATCCATTATATACATAATAATCATATACCCCATCTATGATTATACATCCATTATCTCTACCATAAATCTTGCGTAAATAAATGGTAATAATCCAGACCATACCCCATTCTCCCATCTATTATGATTATACTTCCATAAATCATCCATCAGATATAATGGTGTTTATTATCCATAAATCATCCATAAATGGGCCATTGTCCAGCAACCAGCTATAGGTATATCTACCATAAATCATCCATATCAGGTAGATATCACTAACTATAGTTAATTAACTCTTTCAGCCATTAACTATAGTTACCCTCTGGTTGTTTAACATGGCCATGGAAAATTGCCCATTTATGGATGATTTTCCCATTAAAACCTCCATTTGTGAGGGATTTTCCATGGCTATGTTAAATAACCAGATGGTAACTATAAAGATAACTAACTATAAGCCATTAACTATAGTTAACTATATAACTATAAGCCATTAACTAACTATAGCTAACTATAGTTAATGGATGATCCTATAAGCCATTTTCCACATCACAATAACCTCCATCGCCTGAGCGGGACCGCGCGGGGACCAACGGCCGGGCCGCGCGAAAGGCCAGGCCGAAGAAGCGCTTCTCTCGGAGGGCCTCCATCACCTGCAGGGAACTTGAAGCTGGGGATGAAACCAGCAGAAATGACGTTTTTTTTTTTAAAAATATTTCTATATCTATATCTATATCTATACATAAATAAAAAAAAAATATATATATGGATTCAAGGGCAAAGCCATGGAAATAAGGAGAAGAGCACATTTTTTTTCGGGCCATGGAATGAAATGCACCAACCCCAAATTGGGGGAATAGATGTATGCAACCAAAATTGGGGATTTAACCAGTCAGAACATTGAAAACACATGAAAACATGCCAGATATTGCTAGATTCTAGAGTCATTTGTGGGAAGGCTACTTTCAGATCTATTCTGGTTGTTAGGAGGGTGTTTGTTTCATCCGCCTCAGCCATGTTTTTCATTGGTTCTACCGACCCCATTTGCTAGACGAACTACTCGAAAGGGCTCTTTCATGGATCAAATTTGCCACAACAACCGGAGATCTGATGGCGGTTGAACCCGAAAACACCGATAATCATCCAGCAATGATGTGGTTGATCTGGTTCTTGATGGAGCCTAATGGAGTTTTACCCACACATATGAGTTTGTTGGGGGATATCAGTTGGCATAGCTCAAATCATGCTAACATCAGCAAGATATTTAGCACACAGCGAAGGCATGATGACTATGATGATGGTTGTAGATTCATCAAAATCGTTTCATCTGCAGGAATGCTTTGCGTGTGAAACTTGGCAAAGAGTACCAAACAAATGGACGAGCTGAACTGGTAGAGGCCATCAACAAATTATTCTGGAACATAAGATGTCTCAATTAATACGGTGTTTCCTATAACATTCGGTTTGCCAGGATTGACTGACATATCCCAAGAGCTCTTGGCCATATACCCATGTTGATTGGTTGATACAAGGTGGTGCTCCAGTTCGTTACCTAGGTTGGTTTACAACTCCAAATTCACTAGGTTTCCCTTTTTTCCTTTACACCCCTTTTTGCTGTGCGTCAGGGGTCCACGGGTTAGGGGGGCAGCCTGCTGGGGACTGGGGGGTCTTCACACGTGCTGCCGGCATTGCAGCGATGCTGATGATCTTCCTCCTCTGAGATCGTGATGATCTTCATATACCCTCTGGTTATTCAACATAGCCAGACATAGCCATGGGAAATAGCCCATTCATAGATGGTTTACCTATTAAAAATGGTGGATCTTTCCATGGCTATGTTAAACAACCAAATGGTAGATGTTTCATGATCTACCTGCCGAATCCTGTGTGAAGCTGGAGATGACAAGCGAGGTGCGTGCGGAGCTGAATGTTATTCTGCTCCAGCTCCTCGCAGCGGTATGATACATATATCAAACTAGTTACAGTAATGGTGGTTATAAACCAACTTGGCCAACTATAGGGCACGATCTTGAAGATGTCGTCTTTTTAAAAATTCTCTGGGTGTGAATGCTGCCATTGAGCACCCAACTGCCACTTGGCCACTTGGATGAAGCAAGTGGGCTGCAACCATCTGCAGTTCCAGGATCAAAGGGAGGTTGCAAACAAAGAACATTGGATCATAGATAGGATAATTTTTTAAAGGTCGGATAAATAATAGATTAGACAATAACCATCATGCATCCTTTATATATTGTTGGATAGCACATGTTCATATTCAACATTATATGGTTGGTTTAGCAACCCATTCAGCCAGGTTGACCCGGAATTTGTTGACCATAGCCATTTGTTTTCGCATATTCTGCCAAAATCGTAAGTTTCCCTATTTCCTTGATTGATTCCCAGTTTTTGGTGGTTGAACCAAGTTATATATAGATCAGATCAGTATCTTTGCTGGTCAAACTCCGATTAAAATCCCATGAAATCAGCATTTTTCGATAGTAATCAGCTGATTATCCCATTATAAGTCCCATTAAAATCCCATTAAAATCCTATCAAAATATATTAAAATCCCATTAAATCACTGGTAAACTCCTTCTTTGTCACGCTGATCCCGATTTCACCAGCACACCACACCGCACGCGCCTCAGCGCCTCAGCACCCTGGCACCGCCCCCGGCGGCGCGGCTGAGCCCACGCTGCGGGAAGCTGAGATGATTGGGACAAATATGGTGGTTAACTACCAATAATATCTGCTTGGTGGTTTGAACCCATCTGAAAAATATGAGTTCGTCAGTTGGGATGATGACATTCCCAATATATGGGAAAAAAGTTCCAAACCACCAACCAGATAATATAAATGGTATGATAGTCACACATGGATATACTATATATATATATATATATATATATATAGTGGTTCACTACAAATCATATAAATGGTATGCAGTGCTTTGTACGGCTGCAATGTACTGCCATGGGCAAGGTCAATGAATGTGGTGCTACGCGTAGGTCAGGTCCATCTTTCTGTACCATTTATGGTAGTCACTGGGTTGATAATAATCGGACATTGGGTTAATTATACCATTTAGCGCCATACATGATGATATTGATACATTGATACATGATAGTTATACCATTTAACACCATACATGATTTTAACTGGGTTGACAATAATTAACCCAGTGAAATATGGGATGAGTGCACTGGTCAGGTCAGGAATTGATAATGGTTATATGGGTTTTAATGGGATGGTTACAATGGTAGTTAAAGTGGCATTTAGGTTATACATAACATATTATAGAATGTTATAAACCTATGTTCTTATTGAGTTAGATTGATATATGGGCCAGTTGCTCAACAGTTAGATATCTTCATGGTCCATCTAAGGGCCACTGAAAGCAATCAAAATGGATTTGTTGATGGCTTCCCTCAAGCCAATCCATCAATGGTTTATGGATGCTTCACAATGGGTATATGCACTTACCATCAACGTTGTGCCCATTAGTTCGGGGCTACTTGTACTTTAGCCCATCTGCTGAAATGTTTGGCCCATTTGATGGTGCCTCCAGGCAACTACCATCAGCTATGGTGCGATCGATGTTCCCTCCAGCCTGAGTCCTGAGGGATCCTGGTGATAAAAATTTGCTCCAACAGCCTTGAGAAAAAACAGATATTTACAGTATTTTGTAGGGACTCAAGCTACGTTTATATGACGTTCTGGCGAACTTAATGCTGTTTATAGCCGTATCACAAACCAAGCGGTTTGTCAACAATCATATGATAAACGTCAAGGTCGTCAAGGGTCACAACATGTCACAAAATGTGGTAAACCCAATGCCATAAACATCCATCAACCATCCACAAGTCACCATAAAACCATGGGTGGTTTACCAGCCCCAGTGGTAGTTTACGGCAGCTCCATGGCTGATCGACAGGTGGCCAGGCGAAGATGATGTACATGCAACCGAACAGCACCTAAGGGCGGCAGCTAAGCGAACTGATCGGCACGGAAAAATTAGTAGCACACACAATATGGGTGATACATGGGTGATAAATGGGTGATAAATGTGCCAATGTCAAAAAATGGCTCCGCTTAGATACATCACATGTTTTGTCTGGCAGATTGTGAGCATCTATACCACCAGCAAGGCTATCAAACCCTAGGCTTATGATGATTCATGATGGATGGATAAGACACCGGCGTTTCTGATGGATGGTAGCCTAAATGCCATGTCTACCTTATTTTTCATGGTCGGCGTTCTGATGTAAAAAAATAAACCCACGTAAATTGATACAAATTGCCATTTCCAAGTGCAGAAAATCATATTCCATAAAATTGGGTATCATTGAAAATAAATCTAGAATCTAGATTTTGTTGCAGAAAATCATATTCCAGACCCAACCCTTACCAATTTGGGGCTCCATGGGATGCTCAATGAGGCCATGGCCAACACAGGAAAATGCATCAGCAGCAAAGGAGGCGTCGCCAACCTGAGAAATACGTCGCTTTTAGAATTAGAACAGGATCCTTGACGCCAGCATGCGTCAGCCAGAAATCGGTTTTTATGGGTAATTATGTATATATCATATCTACGCAAAATATGTACACACACACATATATATATATGATGGCAAAAACATGTATATATGCGTAATGATTGTAAACATCTGTTGTTTGACTCCAGCATCAAAAGTTGGGATGCCAAAGCACATCTTCGGGTCTTGCTAAAATCAGACAAAGAATAACAAAGCATAAGCAGTCATATGAAACTGCTTGTGCGCACAAATACATTCGCTTAATCATCAAATGGTGGTTTTACTTGGGGACTTGGGGGATGTTTGACGGCCGCCCTTGCATTCATTTGCTACCTAGATTGGATTCCGTTTCCCTGCGCTGTAGGAATCCCAATTAACTTTGCTCTCGGGAACCAAATACTCATCGAAATTGCTTCAGGCACCCCCACAAATCCACAATTTTCCTTCTCTTTTTCCTAACTCCTCGTGGGTTTCCAAGATGGGAAATGCCATTATCAGACTAGTGGCAGCATTTTCATTTGTGGCAGTGATAGAACACATTTGGCTAGTGAAATATGAAAGTCACCAGTAGGTTTGAGGTGAAAAAAACTGCTATTGTGGGCCATGATTCCGAGTTTCTTGCTGAATTCAGCATGCTGATAAATTGTGTTCTTTTTACTTACTGGTGCTTAGTAGGAAATCGGGGAATGATCCATAGTAACTATTAGCAATCATCTCATTCCCTCATTCCCTAAGCACCAGTAGGCAATATCAAATCCCTCTCTTGCCTGGTTGCCTGACCCATCTCGGCAAATGACAAATAATGAGGTCACATAATTTCTTAGCCAGCCTGAAAGATAGCCTGAAAAAAGATCACACGAATTTCGCTGCTTAGTATTATAGCCTGCAAATTAACATAGATGTGGCAAGCCCACGATTTGTAGATCACTTTCCTAGGGAAACTATAGGATTTCTCCCCAGCCACATCTATATTAGTTTCACCCAGGGTACATCTCCATTTTTACAATTCAAGTGCTGCCCTGGCCTAGTTAGTTGGCTTCATCACCAAGCAACATGGCTTCCACGGCACCCGCCAACGCAAGGCCGTTGTGTAAGAGCTGAGGCACAGATGTGAGGCGGGGATGGGAGCGGAGCTCACCCATTTGAAGCCCTGGTAGAATGTTGTTGTGCATAGTAATGCCCAAAGAAGATAGAAAAGCTACATCATGGAAAACACCTAGCACAAAAATAAATAAATCAATAATTAGATAAATAAACAAATAAATATGTATATATATATATATATAATATATGTATATATAGTAGGTAGATTTGTTCTATCTTTCTAGGGGTTTCTGATATTAAGGCCATGGGAAGTTCCTGACTTTCGCTGTCCTTACTGACTCTCAGCACCTTTTCCCCTGAATCTGCGCACCTGCGGTTTCGGCCGGAGAATTCGCTTCAGTTTCTGCCAGTCGCCTCAGATTCAATGAACATGTGGGTTGACCTTGAACCAAAAATACATGTCGAGGTTTTTAACAGATTAATACCACATGTTTTTAATATTAGTACTTAAGGAATATGGTACCTTGATGACCGATACGGTGGTCTCTTATCCATATGAAAACTACTATTGACCTTGCTGGTATATGGTGGCGTTCATAGTTATATATATATATATATAATTTTGGGCAGTATGTGACATGAGATTATTTAGTTGGTGACACATACTAAGAGGCCTAAATTTGGAAAAAATGACTTTATGTACTTATCTGGATTAAAAAAATGTACTTATATGACTTACATGACTTTAAATGAACTTCATAACTTAATATAACTTAAATAGATTGACCAAATAGCTGGTGGTGTTATGGGATATTGACTCACAGTAGCCTCAATATTGACAACCGCCCTTGTTCGCAATGCTGTATGTACAGTCAGCAATCGCCAACACTAGTCGTTGATATTCCCAAGTTATAGGGGGCATCAGATCCACACTGCGACGTCAAAGGCCCGTGGCCTTGTCTGAAACCAGGGTACCCCCTAAATCCACTCACGAATCACCATTTCCCTTCGAACAAAAAAAAGCTTTTTGGTGATTTTGGGGCAAGCATAGACACACCATAGAAGGTGGTGCATCGTAGATAGCCAAGTTGGTATATAAGTAGTAATTTAAATGAAGGGGCTCTATATTCTTTAGATGGAGCTACAACTTGCTCATGAGTGGGGAGCACCATCCATTGTGAATGGTTGCTGGGCCCTCCTGCGCATCTTCTTGATCTGCGGAATCAACACGAAGCTCACCACAATGTTCCTTTGGCTTCGTGCGCAACTTGCAAATGTGCCCTAAATGCCTAAAGTTGTCATTGACAAGATCAATGACAAACATTGAAACATTGTGAAACATGATGATAAACCAGTGGAATTACAATATCACATCATAGTAAGACAAAAACGAAAAAACACATCGTGAACCATGACGACAATTCATTGGAAGTACACCGACTTGTTAAACATCGCTCAGATTGGAAAGTTCTTTGTCCAATGCGTTGGGATTGCGGGTATGCTGGGAACCCTTGGGCCTCGAAATCCAGACTCTTCAATGTCCAAGCATCACGAAGAATCCCAAAGGAAACATCAGTTCCCAAAGAAGTTGTGTTACCTTACGTGGCGTGCTGATCCCAGTACAATTGAAAATCTTCCAAAGCACTCGGCGCCCACAATGCCCGACCTATTATAGTCTAAAAATGTCTAAAATCATTGATGTCTGAATTGCAAATCAGGTTGGGCGACGCCAAATCCTTCTGTGAACAGGTTTGGCAGGTGATGTTGGGATGGTTTACCTATTAAACATGGTGATTTTCAATAGCTATGTTAGTTTGCCAGAAGGTAATGCCATTTAATGATGATTAAAGGTGCTGAAAATGTGGATTAATGGTGCTTTCTGGACAGATATCTTCCAGGATAGGCCGAAATGGACTCCGGAAATCGACGAAATTCTCTGCCCATGAAATGCTTCTCGACATTGCATCTTATGGCTGGTTGGTGGTTGACCTACCCCTCTGAAAAATATGAGTTCGTCAGTTGGGGATGATTACAAATGTTCCAAACCACCAACCAGATGGTATCCTACCTCCAATAGACTCTCTGCATCATGATCCCACGTTGGCGATAGACTAGCTGGAAGCCCCGGAAACCAAACTGTTTGATCACTCCACTTCTCGTAGTTTGTCACTGGAATCACTCCACTTATACTGGTTTGTGGTTTTAACCATCATGAAAAATATCAGTCAATGGGAATGATTATCCCATATATTATGGAAAATAACAAATGTTCCAAACTGGAGCACTGCTGTTGGGTTGCAAAGCTGGATTAAGCAAACATGCCTCTGTCCAGTTTATTAATTCTGACATATACCGCATCAAATTAGCTGAAAAACATACTGCATCAGCTACCCCTCAGCAGCTGGTTTACTAAAAAAATAAATACCACAACATTTCTAGGTATTTCTCTATCTCCCAGTCTGGTCTGGTTGATGAGTTGTACATATTCATGTCTCAAATATTCTCAAATTCTTCACCCCTACTCCCATTCAGGGCCCCGCCCATGGCAGCCATGACTTCATCCCCAAAGATGGTCGTTCTACTTCGATGGGCCATGGTTCGCTACTTCATTAGCACATGGATTACAATTGGGATATAGGCTTATGATATAGGATGATATAGTTTTAAAGTGCTATTTAAGACCCAGTTCCTATGCAGGAATCGCTACTCCCATAGCACATCCGCATTGGTGGAGGTCAGACACCGCATTGTCCGCATAGGGGAAATGACACGCATTTTTGCTTGGATAAGTACTAAGAATTAATGGTTTCTCCATGTTTTCCATGTGTTTTCCGCGATCTCTTCACTTTTGCTTCAAATAGCTACATCCCACTGTTTTTCGAATCTTTTCTGATGATCTCGGGGGTGCATCCCACTGAAGAAATTATAGCCCCAGTACATGAAAAATGGAGGGTTTTCCTGACATGGTGGTACCCCTAAATCATCAATTTGTAGATGGATTTCCCATAAACCATCCATAAATTGGGGATCCTCCATGACTATGGAAGTTCATATGAAATATTTATATTATATCCCTATACCCTCTGGTAAACTAACATAACTATGGAAAATCACCATATTTAATGGGTAAATCTACTTTAAATGGCAATTTTCAATAGCTATGTTTGTTTACCAGATCGTGGGTGTATAACGTGACTAATTTTACAGATACCCAGCAAATTCCCAACCAATCTTTAGGTCTGTATATTTATATATCCCCTATCAAAAGTGGATGAAATATGGCTCAGGTGCGACACAGAGGGCCCGGGGTGCGGTGGCGCTCCAGCCCAGCGCCGCTGCGCAGCAGAAGAAGACAGCGCAGCTGAAATTGCTCCAGGCGGTGAAGGTGGACCAACGCCTGGAGAAATGGAGGGAAAATGTGGGGAATCCCATGGCAAAACATGGGATTTACTATGGGGAATCAATGACACATGGGGAACATTAATAGGGATATATAGAATATTAATGGATTTGCCGGAGGATCAGTATCAAGAGAGGTGAATTATATAAAGAAAAATCCAGAAACATTGCAAAGAGGAGAGGCTAGAAATGGTGGGTTTAATTTGTAAAAAATCCGGATTGTGAAAAATCGGGCCGTAACCACAGAACACATGGAATAACGTCCATGGCACTGATTTTTTTGGATGGGGAAAAATGTGGGAAATTGATGGGACAAGTGGTGGGAAAATTGTGATTAAACCATGAAAAATGATGAATTTCATGGAGAGACTTGAACTGGTGGGCTGGGAAAACCATCCATTTCATGGTGATGAATTACCGTGAAAACTGGTGGTTAAAGCATGGGATGTAATAATGATATAATATAGGATGTATTAACTCGCTGTTGGTAGCATGGGAGAATTTCTCCACGGCAAGGGCCATTTGCGATTGGAGAATGATGTCCAGAGTTGGGATTTAACCTGCGTGTCTATAAACATGACTGTGGTAGCAGGCATAATGCAAGACAAATTTAGTAATATATGGTATACGATAATACTGAAATCATATATAATCAATTATAATCACATGGTGGAAGCAAGATTGCACATGCTTTGTTGAAACATCATCTAAGTCCATGTTTATTTATGTAACACAACTATTAGCGCATATTCACGTGTATTAATCTAGACGTGTACGCGAGTATATATGTCTATATGGTGTGGACGTGGTTTTCTGACTACATAGTGAAGCTATTGAAAATATTGAAAATCAAAGTGTATACATATTTCTATATATATATATGTCATAGGGGAAATGAAGCTGGAATACATCTCTGCTTGGTAAGGATTGTTAGGAGGGATGCTCACCTATTGAGAGTCACCACTTAGACAGGCCGTGAGTACGTCGGCCAAATGCTCTGGCAACATCGCCGGATACACATCTGTTTATGAACGGGGCTTCCCCCATGTATTTCAGCACAATTGTCTTCCAAGTTGTGCGCATATAAATAGCATACACCTAAGATTTGGAACATTGAAAATACATGTGCAATATGTGTGCAATAAGTTCCGCACACGCACACATATACATACGCAAATAGATAGATAGATAGATAGATAGATAGATAGATAGATAGATAGATAGATAGTAAGATAGATAGATAGATAGATAGATAGATCGAAAGATAAAAACAAACAAATAGATAAGATAAGATAAGATAAGGTAAGATAAGATAAGATACGATAAGACAAGATAAGATAAACTAGATAGATAGACAGATGGATAGATTAGATAGATAAAGATAATAAAGATAGATTAGATAGATTAGATAGATTAGATAGATTAGATAGTTTAGATAGGTTAGATAGATTAGATAGATTAGATTTGATTCGATTAGATTAGAGTAGATCAGATTAGATAGATTAGATAGATTAGATTCGATTCGATTAGATTAGAGTAGATCAGATTAGATTAGATTAGATAGATAGATAGATATTATAGTGTATTTATATTTATTTATTCATTCAGGTGCTCATGATGATGCTGCTGATGCAAACTGAATCCAGAGCTGAGCCAGTGCAAAATGACCTGGCCAGAACACGGTTGCTATCTTGGAAAAGAGGCCGGAACTCAAAGGCTTCAAAATTAAAGTTTCTTGCGTGTGGTTTAACTGTTAAACAAAATTGAACAACTCTGAAACTTTTGCCTGAACTGTCAATCCTTGAAAATCCAATCCATTAATATTATGATATATCCAATGATAATAATATTATCAAGTGAGATGTTGGGTATATCAATAATATGATTGCTATAATAAATATTGGTACAAACATTGAACATTGTTATATGATAATATATCCATTAATAGTATTAATATATGCTTATCGTCATAATATCAAATTCAACATTGCATTGAAATCAAATCCATAATATCCAATCATATTACCCAGAATATTGATATATCATAATATTAAATTAAACATTTAACGACTGCACCAAGCGATAAACTCCGATGTGCACCGCCTGAAACCCGTTGCAGGCCCCGCCTGAGGCCCATGAACTCCCGATGCACCACGGGAAACTCCGGGCGTCCCAGAACGGTGTAGCGCACCAGCATGGGATCCGAGTCCAAGTAGTGCCACAGCATCAACGAGGATGACCTTTGGGATGAGTTGACCAAAACAATGTTTTTATGAAGGTAATACCTTTTTTTTCCCTTTCCTGTTACTGCACGTAGTGCTTGGATCATGCAGTGCTGGAGTCATGTTAGGCATGGACCTGTGCATAGTGATCAGGCTGTACTGTGGCACGGTCAACATAATCAAATGACAACATCGGCACAAACTCAGGGAGAGCAAGGGATCCACCCATTGCCCGCGGCACCCCGCTTTGAGGGCAAAATCGGCTATGCTCTCAGCCAGCGCGTTGTTGAGTGCCTCCTGGTACACCTTGGCGATTGCCGTGTGGAAGACTCCAGAGGAGTCTCGACCAGCAAGAGCTTGGTGCCATCCTCGAGGGTGTCGAGCGCCCAGGGACATGGTGTGAATGACCATCTTCGGTAATCGGATCAGGAGCAACGTCGTAGGCTTGCGCGCTGGACAATGGTACACACATTGATCCAACGTGATCACTTGTGTACATTCAAGCCTCCGCAGTCACCTAACAACCCTGGATGCCCAGATCGAGGACGGCCGATGACGTACAGCCCAATAAGACCAGAAAGATGAATATAATCACAGTAATGTTAATTATGACCTTGGAATGATAAATTGTCCCACTATGTTTGCTCATTATCCCAATGTTTGATGAAATATCCAACAATTGACAATTGATAATTATCCCACGAGGACTGATGACCTTGGGGATGAGAGTTGACCATCAAAAAAGTATATTTTATGTGGGTAAAACAATGCCATGGGAATGGTTTATATTAGTTTATATATATACCATTTATAAGTATGATCAAAAAAGTATAATGTAGGTAATGCCTGTCATTTCCCTATATCATGATTATAATCACAATAATGTTTATTATGACCTTGGAATAATGAATTATCCCAATATTGTTGATTATTATCCCAAAGTTTGATGAAATATCCAACAATTGACAATTGATGATTATCCCATTATAAAACTAATGTGGGTAAAAGGATGCTACAAACCCCCCCATGACTGGGAATGGTAAAAATACCTCCTATAAAAATGGTGATGACTGGGGGATGGTTTATTGTTGTTTTACCCACACTATCATGGTTTCTGATTTCACCATCAGATAAAGGGACATTACATGATGTTAACATATGTTACCATCGCAGAAGCACTGAACCTAATGATTTTACCATCAATTTGGTCATCAAAATGATGAACAAAATGGATCTGACCAGCCAAGATTGTGGCCTTCACTAAGCAAATATGTGACTCAAACGAACCAAAATGGTGCACTGCACTAAGCCAGCCAAAATTGTGAAATGTCACGGCTCCGTGACTTGGGACGTGGACTTACAGTTGATTGGGAAGTAGCTGGGCTGAAATTCGGACCCTCTGATAATCAAACATGGAAACGGAAACTCGGGGAACATGAGCATTTCCAATAACTATATCTAGAACTGGTGGCTGGTAGCTTTCCCATTGCCAGGTTAGATTACCCAACCGGACATTCTATAAGTCAATTACTTCAATTTATTAACCCATCTAACTACTAAAGTTAAACACCCCAAAAGTTCACCTAATTTTCGAAAACCAGTTATTCGCGTTCTGGGGCACCACAAAATATGCCTCCAAGAATCCCAAAGGCCATGATCAAGTTGTAGCACTTTACTTCAGGCTTGGACCTTGACGACGCAACTTCTGGAAATCAACCAAGAGATTGCATTTTGTTTTAACCATTTAAAAATCGTTAAAAATTGGTAGTTGACCAGTTGACCATCAAAAGAATGGAGTTTGGATGAATAAGGTATTGATCAATTTTATGGAAATGTGCTTGCTTCAAAATTGGGAATGGGAGGTTGATGATGTTTATGACGTTTATGGCAGTTTTGATGCGGAAATTAGGTTCCAATAATACGGGGCTCGCAATTTCGTAGATCTTCCTGTTCATTATGTGGGGGAATTATTGAGTTTCAGACTTTTGATATTTCAATCCCAGTTTGCCCATGGTGATCCACATCTTTGATCATTCTTGCTGATGGAAACCACTATTTTGCTGGATATTTGTGCTGAAAAACCACCATGCTTTCGAGATGTTTGACAAACACAACACCCTAGGTGCTGCATTTTTGAAGAAGAAAACCATAAATCCTTCAGAATTTTGGATCCAACTAGCTCCTCAAGGGAATATGGATCCCCCTAACCCATCTGGTTGGTGGTTTCGACTATCTTGACAAATATTAGACAATGGGAAGGATTATCCTATATATTATGGGAAATAAAACATGTTCCAAACCACCAACCAGCCATGAACGGATATCTAATGGAGTCTGGATATCCGTAGCTGAGAGGCATCTCCTCGAGGCATCCGTAGCTGCCGTCCGGGAGCACGCTGAGCCAGGCCACGCACAAGGCCACCACGAGGGTCAACAGGAAGGCGGTGAGGAACAAGTTCAAGGTCTGGGGAGGTGAAGTTTTGCTGGGTTTTTTTACCGGCAAAAAATGGTGAATTCACCAGGGAAAATGGTGAATCAATCGGATTAATGGGATTTGATGGGGAGCATTTTTTTTGTTTGCCGGGGCTTCTCAGAGGGTTTGCCCCAACAGCCGGCCCAGCACGTTCGCTCTGGGCAAAGCTGCAACAGGTGCATGACAATTTTGATTTTATCAGCAAAAACTGAAGATTTTATCATGAACAAAGGATGATTTCATGGGGTTTCATGGATTTTAACGGGATTGATGGAATTCTTACCTCAGCGGATTCTTACCAGCAAAACTGGTAATTTCAATGGTTTAACAATAAAACATGTGACTTGTTAAATTTTTAAATTTGGATGTATATGATTTAAGCATGAAAAACTTGGATACAGAGGTTTTTCCAAGCTTAACCTTAGATAATTACTGGGATAATCACCAGAACAATGGAGGTTATCATGGTAACATGATATGGTTTCTATATTGTTCAATTGGTTTAGGAGGGATTTTTCATGGGATCATCAAAGGATATCAATGGCTAACTACCATCCGGAATCAAAGGTTAGTGGCTCAGAAATCTTCATCAAAAGTGGAACTTTAAAGTTGGGAAAATCATCTCTCTCCGTGGGGGGTTTTCAGCACACCATATTCAAGGTATGAGTGACTTACCCTCTGGTAATTTAACATGGTAATTTAACATAGCTATGGAAAATTGCCATTTATAGTTGATTTACCCATTCAAAATGGTGATTTTCTATAGTTGTGTTAGTTTACCAGAGGGTAGCTCAGGTCCCTTCAGTTGATTGGTGATTTGACCATCAAACATGATGAGTTCACCACCGAAAATGGCGGTTTCTCGTGGGGATATCATAGGGGTATCATGAGGATACGAGTTGCCTTCGACTTAACTGATAACAAAAGAATAATGCTATAGATACGTATGTATATATATATATAGTTGATCGGGGTTATAAACCAACTTTTGATCTAGGTGGCACCACCTTGCAGATGTACATGCATACCTTGAGCCCAGTTGTGACCCTTATTTTGAGGCTTTTGACCTGGAAGGTGTTGGATTAACCATCCAAATAGTGGTCACTTGAGTTCAAAAGATATCTCTATGTGTTAAAATGTTAACGTCTATCTATCCGTCTGTCTGCCTATCTATATGCATACCTCTCTCTCTCTCTCTCTCTCTCCCTCCATCAATGTACCTATCTCTACCTATCTCTACGTATCTCTAAGTATTTCTATCTAACTTTATCTATCTCTATCTTTCTCTATCTATCTCAATCTATCTTTATCTATCTCTATCCATTTCTATATGCCTCTATCTATCTCTATCTATGTAAATCTAACTCTCGATAATATGCATGTCCAAATGAAAATATAGATATCCCAATGTATATATATATATATATTGCATCTATCTGTATCTTGTTCTACAGTATGTCTAAAAGATTCAAACAACTCTACCTATCTATCTTTCTATCTTTCTATCCATCCATACATACAACTATGGATCCATCGATCTATCTATCTATCTGTCTATCTATCTATCGATCTATCCATCTAGCGATCTATCTATCTATCTATCTGCCTGTCTAACTATTGATCGATCTATCTATCGATCTATCTAAACATCGAATTTCTATCTATCTATCTATTTATCTATCTATCTAGCTAGCTAGCTAGCTAGCTACCTACATCATGTTTGCCACGTAACATCCCAAGGAGCGCTCTTCGGAGCATCCGAATCCACCGTCACTGGCGCGACACCCGTCATGGCTGCGGTTTGGGGCAACTGGTTGGGACAGGCTAACGGGCGTGGAACGGCAAAGGAAAGGATGGAGCTACCTATATCTTGAACAATGATTGGATTGTGGAATATCTGGGTGTACTTATGGAGTGTACTTTTTCAGAGTGTCTTTTCTGGTTTTTTGTTTGGAGCGGAAAACATCATCGCACGTTTGAAGGTGCCGAATGTGAATTTCTGGCTTGAGCACATGGTTTGGGCAGGGAACGGCGCCACATACTCGAAGCTCAATACTGCAACTGCTCCATTTCCAACGTGATTTTCCATGGCAAAATTTCCCAGCAATGGAGGTTTCTAGAAGTTTTTCCGGCTAGTATAATGCTCTATACATTGACAATTTAACGGGAGAATCCCTTATCAATATGGAGGTTTATTAGCTGGGCTAAACCGCTGTAAATAGAAATTTCATGGGATAATCCCGTCTCAATGGAGGTTGATAATAGCTGGGAGAATTCTCTAAAAATGCAGGAATTTCCAGCCACGTTTGATGACACCAAACCCAGCCATGTCTTCACCCGAATTCCCGGCGACACCAAGCGCTGACAGGAGGATAGGAAACGGAAAGCCAGCCTGCGATGAGGGGGGGGGTACTAGCCCCTGATTGGTCCAAAAATAACATCCAAAACGATGATCTTTAGATATAGCAACCCACCAAAAAATATATGTTCTATAGCGTAATCCAATCCTAAAAGAATGGCACATTTAACCGGTTCTGCTGCTTTTTTCGCTTTAGTTTCTTACTGCAGGGCCAATTCCGAGAAAATTCTCCGGTCATCCGGTTGGTCCTCTTGCAGAGAATGGACACAACAACGGCTACTCCGAGCATGCCTGAAGTGATCACAATGTGGCAAACTAGTGCCCAAAAAAAAGGATGGGCGTGTCTGACAATGGAGCATGTCCATTAAATAACATGTCCTTCCAAAGAATTATGATAAACCATTTGATTTTGAGGTAGCCGATTTCAAGAAACCCCCCATGCGTTGGCCTAGCAGCTTCTGAACCGATGTACCATAATAAATAATAAACTATCCAATTCTCAATGTTCTTACTTACGTTTAAATATCCCATGTGTTGGTGACATTTTCCTACCCCCTTCTTGGACAAAGCCATGTGTCCCAGTGGTCCTCCTTGATGAGTTGTTGGTTGGCCAAAATCACCTGAGGCTTTGGGGAACCAGCGCGGCCCTGACAGTTACCCTTCGATGACTTCACAGTTAGCTTTGGAAAATGCATGGAACATGGCCTGTTTAGAGATGATTTTGGTATTTAATATAGACATGGCAAATCACCATTTTTTTCATAGGTAAACCATCTATAGATGGGCCATTTTCCATGGCTATGTTAAATAACCAGAGGGTACCTATATTTACCTATTAACAATAAAATGCTTTTCCCATGTTCAATCACCAGGGGTGATTTATAGCTAGCTGATTCAACCGGCTAAAATGGTGGTGTAGACCAGGAAAAAAAACCTACCACAATGACGGTAACATGGTATCCCGGTAAAAAAGTTCACCACTTGAACCCCTATGGCAAATCTGGCTTGCTATGGCATGACTTCGGGAACGGGAATTTTTGGTGGCTTCCATGTAGAGGTTGCGGACATCACATGTCATCACCGTTGTTGCCAATGGGCTTGTGATGAAACTGCTCAAGTTTCAAGCTGTGATTAGAGACAAAATCGGAAAGGAAGTATAAACATTCCCTCAGGGACTTTCACACTTTGCTGTAGAAGCCATGGCCTGTTTAGTTTGATGCTTGACCATTGCTGAAAATGCAGATTTTCCAGAATTATCAGCGGGTGTCCATCAATGTTTCATGGCTATACCATTGCATCCCCATTGTCTATCCTGTTGGAACGCCAGCAATAAACAATTGGACACATGTCACACATCCCATTATATTTACAATTCACCAAACAAATATCGCCTTTTTCCCGACAGATTGCATTGCATCATGTTTTTCCATAGAGGTCGGCCCATCGCACAAAATTGCAAGCCTGCTGGCCATGAGCTGAACCTCTTCCGGTTGCACTGGTTTCAACATGATATTCATAGACAAAAACCAACATTATTTCACGTGAGTCACTCACTATACAATGATAACCCTAGTACATACCATTACATCCAATTACATTCCCATTACATCCCTATCATTATTTCAGGTGAACATCCAATAGATTTCTATTTCTATACATTGCCAATCTTAGATACCCAACAATTAATCAAATTCTTAGATGCCCTACGAAAAAATAGCTGGTTAGCAAATATTCCCATTTATTGCAGCAGATTCTGGTCGGTGGTTTCAACCCCTCTGAAAAATATGAATGTCAGTTGGCGTGATTCTTCCCAATATATGGGAAAGTCATAAAATTCATGTTCCAAACCACCAACCAGATAATACAAATGCTAGTCACACATGGACATACTATATACTGTATATATATATATAGTGGTTAACTAGAAATCACACATATATATATATATACACCATCTGGTTATTTAACATAGCCATGGAAAATCACTATTTTTAATAGGTAAACCATCTATAAATGGGCCATTTTCCATGGCTATGTTAAATAACCAGAGGGTAATTGGACTAAACTACCCAAGGTTGTCCTACTTGGCTCATCTTAGGTCATACCTCTGGGATCCGAGTTGCCCAGGACGAGGATGACATGTAGACCTGGCCAAGCCAGCCATTGTCATTTAGCCTAGGGTAAACTAGCATACATGTGGAAAATGCCACGTTTATGGAGGGAAATACCTGCCACAAACGTGTTTTTAACAAAAAACTGCGTGTTTTTTTCTCAGGAATGTGGATTTAAGCGGCAAGTATAAGCATTTAACCAGAAGAAATGATTGTTTAAATACGAAAAACATCAATGATTATTTTAACTCTAAAAATTGGAATTTAACTACTCAATTCCTGGACTGATTTAGGGAAAAACTCCCGGGAACTCCATTTTTCGTCGTCCAATTCAGGAAGAAGCTGCCTGACTGGAGTGCGTGGTAAAGTGGGCTCCAAACTTTGACCTTTGATATATACTGTACAAATATGATATATAAGTATATAAAATTAAAAATTATACAGATATATATATATATATGTAGATCTATTGATTATCTATATATATATAAATAAATATAATATATATATATATAAATAAATATATATATATAAATATAAATATAATACATAAATATAATATATATATATATATATATGCTTGTGTGAAGAGATATGCGTGGCGATATGGACATTTAAAAAAAAACGGAGAATCCGCAAGAAAACCCAAACTGACTGTGAAATTGGTGGATTCCCCTAGGTCCCAGCCGGGGATCATCCCAGATAGGATGCGTTCTTGACATATCAGGAGGTACCACATGAAGGTACCTAAAAAACCCACCACAAAACACTCAATGGATTGGTTTTCCAAGGAAAATCTGCAGGAAACCATGGATGTTCCCATGAAATATGGGGGTTCTCTCTCTCTAAAGTTTCCCTTAGACATCTTTAATCTGGAGAGCATGACGAAATAGGGCCCCAAATTCCGACGGAACATAGGCATTGTTTGATAGTTCATGTTGTTTATGCTAATTGTCTTATGTTTTTTTTGTTGTTTTTTGGTATTTCATGTTCTTTGTTTTGTTTCTGCTACAGTACTCTTCAACTATTGGCTGCTATTTAGTTTTTATTGCATTTGATTTTTTTAATTGCATACAGAACAGGAAAGTAGACGTGGAGTTATGACCCCAATCCTCCATACAGATTTTTATTCTGTAAAGTGCACATAGAACAGTATAGTAGGGCTAGGGTTATGATTCAAGTCCTCGATATAGATTTTGATTATATAAAGTGTGTATGTATATTTATGTATATATATATATACATATGTATATATATATATGTGGAACAGTTTAGTAGTATCTTTTGTTTCTTTCTGGGGATCTCTAGGGATTTCTACGGATCTCTATGGGAATTTCCAGGGATCTGTCTTTAGGGATCTCTGGGGTTCTTCAGGGATCTGTCCCTGGGGATCTTCAAAAAGCTCTGTGTCTGGGGATGTCGGGGCTTGTCCGGGCATCTCTGGGGATCTCCAGATCTCCGCCTCTGGGGATCTCCATGGATCTCTGGGGGGATCTCTTGGGGATCTTCAGAAGGAATCTCCAGGTATCTCTTGGGATGTCTAAGGATCCATGAGAAACAAATGAGAAACAAAATCTACAGGGATCCCCGTGGATCTCTCATATCCATGGATATGTTAGGAATCACCGTAAGAAGTTGGAGCTTTGGAGGAGGGAGGAGCGTGAAAAAACAAATATATATATATATATATATGTATATATATATATGTATATATATATATGTATATATATGTGTATATATATATATTTATATTTATATATGTATATATATATGTATATATATATATGTATATATATATATGTATATATATATATATATATATGGAGAGACGGGGGTCGAAAAAAAAATCGTTCCCCCCTCTCCAGGCTATGTACTGCATTTAGTATTGGTTCTATTTTGTTTTACTTTGAATCTTTAGGGGATCCCTAGAGATCTGATCTCCAGGAATCACCCGGGATCCTTGGGGATTCCTGGGAATCTAATCTCTGGGGATTTCTGGGGATCTCCGGGGATCTTTGTCTCTGGGGATCCCCAGGCATCTCTAGGGATCTTCAAGGATCTCTGCATCCGGAAATCTCTGAGGATGTCTGGGGATCTATGGGGATCTCCGGGGATCTCTTGGGATCTCCAGGGCATCAGACACAATGTCTAGATAGATCTCCGGAGATCTTTGGGAATCTATGGAGATATAAGGAATCACCTTAAGAGAAAAAAACAACGAAGAACAGATGAATGACCTTTGTCACTACAAATCTCAACAAAGAAATCATAACGTAATTCTTAAATGGTTTGCAGTGTGTGTGTGTGTTTGTGTGTGTGTAACATCTGAACAAATGTAAAACTTCTAAATGCAGGGGGCCCGT